GCTCTATTAAATACAATCTTTGGAGCAGATCCACAGCCCTAGCCTTTTAAGAATGATGACCTGGTGTTGTAGGGTAAGGCCAGCCCATTTATGCAATGGCGGTTCGAGTTAGGGAGTCTTTTCTTCACACACCGTCTCGTCTTCCGATCCCCGCGACACACCAGCGACGCGACCTGTGCGTTAGGGCGAAGCGAGAGTTCGCACGGATAGGCCAAGGGGCCCCAGCTTTTCCTGGCGTTTGGGGTCAAAGAGTTTGAAGGCGCGCAGTAAGGTCTCCTCTTCGCTCTGCAGCTCCTTCGTGCCGGGCGCGAAACCGCGGAAACCGCGGCAGGCCGAGCGGAAGATGCGTTATGAACTTGCGAAACAGTGCGAAACGGACGGTTTTGGGGTCTTGGCACCGTCCCGTGAGGAAAAAAGGCAGGACTTCCAGGTCGAAGAGGGATATAAACCAGGAGACTCATGAGTGATGAATGCTGAACTTCGATGGGCATTCAGGCCAACTCCTTTGGAACTCTTGGATGGCTGGGACTTGCCAGGTTTAACCGGGCCTCTGGGGAGGATGTTGGCCGAATCTCAGGTTGGGATCCAGCACGGCATTCGATGATGGGACACGTGGACCTTCTCCCTTCCTCGATCGGAAGAGGCAGCGGATGAAGGTTCCAAGCGTGGCGACGCAGGACCTGCTCGTGTCCGACGCTATGATCCTCCTCGGCCTCCGACTCGTGTCCAAAACGACTCGAGCCTACTCACGCTAGTCACCACGCCTCATCTTGAATGGACCGTCGAGATCGGCCACCCGTTTCAGGTCCGGTCGAGTTCGGAGGAAAAGAAGAAAAGGTTGAAAGAGCCGACTGGACTCCCATGGGCCCATGGGTTGCATATCAAACTGTACAAGAATTGAAATTTTATGGACCTGCTCGCGCAGTCAGACCCCTGTTGAACGGCCCTTTTCAAGGTCTGTGGCCCCTCTACATCATTGGAGCCCAGATGCATACCCCGGGGTGGCATACAGAATGACTCCAAGGCCGGCGAAGCAATCCCTTAAGTGACAATCCAGCAAGCCAAGGTTTCCCAAACTAATTGTCTTTTGTATTTGGGCCAGGATGACCAAGAGCTTCCATTGTGGGGTTTGTCCTTCTCGGATTTGAGGGTGTAAGACTATACTCAGAGCTTTTCCTGAAAGAGCTTTGAAATGATGTCTCCAAACTCTCGAATCCATCTCCTACCCCATGGAGTCTTTTCGAGCAGCTGCAAGAGTTCTCTCATCCCTTCAGCATCCAATATGGTCCACATCCTCATCATCACCGACTTTCCTCTTCAGCCCTGCGGCCGTGCCCGGCGCGCCTTGTCCAAGCGCTCCAGCAAGTCGTCCACATCGTCCAGTCGCGGATCTTTGATCGCTTGACGGATTCGCACCACCTGGCGGCAGAGTTGGCGGGAGCGGACTTCGGGTTGGACGGCGGTTGGTCCCGGCCTTGCGCGGGAAGGCAGGGGGGAGAGGGAGACACATTGGGCGCGGAAGGTGAGCCTGGTTTGGGTGGGGGCTTCGTTCTTTGGAGTTCGGGGAGGGGAGCCTTCGAGCGTGGGAAGGGAATTGGAAGACCCTTCACAGAGGTGGCTATGAATTTGGCACACCATGGAGATGCTTGCTGAGTCATGAGGCTATGATTCCCAGCAACAACCGAAGGACATCGTCCGGTCGGAAGATCAAAGCTCTTGGCAGCCTTGGCCCTGTGAAGTGCTCTTCATCAGCTCAAACCACCCAATAAAAGGAATATAACTACTAGTACTGCTACTAGTACTGGTTACCGACCTTAATGGGGGGGATACCGACCACATGTCCAACTGAAGGATAGCTTGACAAGTGCTGCTTTGAGTTTGCTATCATTTAATTGAGTCGGAGGCAAGAGGCCACAAGGTGAACCATGGTGAACCCGCAACTTGGCAACGGGGTGAGAAAACTCACGAGGCGACATAGAGCCCACGAAACAAGTGCCTGTGCTCTCCCCAAACTCCCAAGACACCAGAAGTTCAGGAGGATTGAGACTTATTACACTCCCTGGTGTAATCATGGATGCGTGGACAGCCCCTGAGTTCGGATGACCCTTTTAGTACCAAGCAGGTGGTGAACTCCACTTCGATGGTTCCGAGCGTATGGGCCCTGAAATCTGGGAGTGCAGTGCGACCAGAAACACGTCGCGAACCTGGCGATCTTGGATCCACGTTGGGAACCTCGAGACTCCTTTAGTCATGAGAGTTTCGATTTGGAGAGCTCCCCCCACATCTCTTTGGTCACCCCCAACCGCTGCCGAACGAGCGCAAACGAGCTGCCCGCTCACCCTGCTGCCCGATTCTCACTGTGGACTCCACGCGTAGTCGTTCAACGGATGGTTGGCGGATTCCAGGTACCGGCGCGAGGCGATGAACTCCTCAATCGCTCCGAGCGCGCCGCGAGAACCGAAGTCGGGTCGAACCACAGGACGCGGTTTGGGACGGGCGGTGTTTTGGTGGAGACGAGTGGTGTGGAGGGTTGGAAGTGGTTTTACATGCTTTTACCTTGGATGTCTCTTTGGTGTCGGCCTTGTTCCTTTGGTGTTGGCCTTGGATGTCTCTTTGGTGTTCTCTTTGTGTCATCCCTTTTTCCATGATTGGAGGGAGGGTACGTCAGGATGGGGCGATTGGAAGGGTCCTCATTTGAGAGTCCAACTCTGGAACCCTGTTTTTCCCACCTGGCCAGGCTCAGGTCCAGCAGACCCCCCGGTCGCCGGTCGCCGTGTCCCAACAGCCGGCTCCGTTGATCTCCACGGGCTGCCCAGCTGCTTCCGGCTTCCGTTCGGGGTCACCTGGCTGGATATCTTCACACTACGTAAACAGGTCTCCAGACAGGGCACCCACACCGGGCACTGCGCTAGGCCCTAGGCCTTTCCTTTCCTCACTTTCCTCCAGCTGCTTCGCTCCGGCCTCCCCCCCACCAGGTGCTGTCTCAGCCCAAGGAGCGTACAACCTGGTCTCTGCGCTCATGGCGGAAGACCGAAAGACACGGCACTGAGTGTACTAAGCTACTGAAGCTACTGAAGCTGTGGACCTGACTGGGACCTGGTCTGACAGGTGCTCTCAGCGAAGTTCGCCCGATCTATCTCCCAATTTGCAATGCTCCAGGCCGTCCGCACCCACTGGTGGGAAAATCACACACTCATGGAAATGGTCAGACACTCATAGACGTAGAAGCAGACCCAGCTGTAGATGATGAGCCAAATGCTTTTGCGATCGCGCGAGGGTTGCGAACGTGGGTTGGTGACCTGGTTTGGGCAGCTACTGTACCGGCTCCTGGTTGGGAAGTCCAGGCAGTAGAAACGGAAAATTATAGTAACACATACATTTATAGAAGCCATCTCCACTGCTATCTCCTATATAACCCCCCACCCAACTCTGGATTGCCCCCCAAAAATGGGCCGACTTGGGAGCGATGGACTCACTTATTTTTTTGCCCCAGTTGGCTGGAGATCAGTGTTGAGATTAATTTAGCCATATGAATGATTTCTCACGCGAGCAAGACATCATTCATTCCTCAATCCAGGTACCAGCTAGGTTGTCTTCCAGGAATGTCACCATCCTCGCCCCAGATAATCTGGGGCCAAACCAGCTTGGTCACCACGAAAGCATTCGCTCCGGTTGTGGTGGCCCAAGGTTCTGGTGGCCCAAGCAGTTCCCCGGGTTCTGCGGCCTGACAGCTTCGTAGGTGACCCACCCCCCAGATCCGGGATGAAATCAAGGGGAAAGAGTGGGGCCACCACTCGGAACCTTGCGGCGTTTGCCATCTCCGATTTACAATGGGAAGTATAGAGGGGTCGCTGCCAGGTATCATATATATATATATATCAGTTGTACACCTTAGGGGGTATTCCCCAAATCGGCCAACCAATTCCTTAAAGATACTAAAAGGACATTTATGGCGGTAAATGCCCGGAAGCATCTGTCGTGCCACCCGTTTGCATGGCTGACCATCCCAATTTCCCTTGGGTCACTTGAGATTCAACTTGAGATCCATGCCAAACCAGTCGGAAACCCAAAGGACTGTGGGGAAGATGCCCGGAAGCCAAGGAAGCTGAAGAAACTCTGCTTCTTTTCATGTGTCTTTCCTACGCAGTAAGTCAATCAAGCTCAAGAACACATGGGACTCGTGCAGATCTGCTCTTTCATGAGTTTTTGGTTGATCACCCAACCAGTATAAGTATATAGCTTCGTGGGACGAGTAGGGAGAGGGGTGATCTGTCACTCCATCTACCTGCTGAATCTGAAGGTGGACCAGTTCAATCACGTGACCATGTGAAAGATCCACACGGAAACTGACTCATGGCACTTGAAGAGTAACTCAATCCCAGTGCATCCCAGGCAGTTCCCACGTACTATAAGGGACCAGGGGCCCTCGTTCAGTCTCTGGTTTTAGTCGTCGTTTTCTGGAACGGACTCCCAGCGACATCGTGGGAACTGCCTGGATGCCCTCAAAAATAGCTTCTACAAGTTTCAGACCGAACCACTTCGGGCGCGGTGTTTCTTCCTCCAAAACACCCGAACAACGCATCGGACGATGTTCATGTGGCAGTGATCGGACGGACAGCGACCAAAACAGCGACCAAAACGTGGAGTCTTCATGCAGGTGGATCATTGATAGGCATCTCTGTCTTTCAAACGAAGCTCGAATCGATACAACATTAATATACAACTAACTCACTCACAAAAGTCGTTTGGGATGCCTGATTTTTCTGGAACTTGAGGGGGGCCCAGTGATTCTGAAGCATGCCACTCCATGCAGATTGGGAGACAACTTCTCTGAGCGCACAGCTTTTTCACTCGGCATCCCACCTGTACAAGACCCTGCCCTTCCACCCTTGGCCCCCCACCCTGTTTCTTATACCAGTCGATGTGTCATCAGAACGATCTCCATATATGATCCATTCCTCCCAACCTCCCCAGCACCCCAACCTCCCGCACGGCCTCGCCTCGATCTGATGCTTGTAGTCCTTGGATTGGCTGTCCCACAGGGAGAACTTCTCCAGTTTGCGGGATACTTTTGGGATATGTTCACTATCCGGAGACAGATCAACGCCAAGTTTCATGAAACATCAAGACCAAAAGCCAACTCACCTAAAGCAAAAGCAGCAGCGCACACTTTTGCAGTTTGGTTGGCTTTTCCTTCCATGGTCTGTGTTTTCAAAAGTCCGACTGGGATGGTATTCATGAAACACAACCTGCTTTTTGCGCAGGCTCCAAGCACGTACTAAAAAAACACATCCTCAAAAACCAAATGGGAAAAACATCCTCCAAAAACAACCTCCACCCCACCCTCCGCACCCCTCCGTCGCCTCCGCATCCCTCCGCCAGGAGGCCGTTTCCGCCACCAGCACGCCCCCGACGAAGGCGCCCAGTGTCTCGGACAGCCCGAGGGCCTCGCCGTTCGGAAGAGAGCGATCTGGAGAAGACGAGGAGACGAGAACCCGAGGCCTCAGAAGGTCTTTGGCTCTAAACCCTAGGGGAACTGGGATTGAATCTGCATGGATAAGAAGTTGGCAAAACACATGGTAACACCGTGGTTACACCGGCGTCTCTGGGGTGTCAAACGGGCAGGAAATCGAGTCGTCTGGAGAGATTGGTGCCATAATGTCATGTATATAACTCGGATGAGCTGCAAAAACTGTTGCTCCTGGCTGCCAAGGAGAAGAACACCTTTCATCGACCCTCAAAGCTTCGGGTCCTCCTGCCTGGGTGAGGCTGGAGGACAGGAGCACCGTGCCCAGCGTCACGGCCAGGAAGGCCTGGCGCGCACCGCGGGCGCCCAACGGCCCAGGCAGCGGCGTTTTTGAAAGGATCGAAGAACTCCAGGAAGGAACTCGCTTCTAGTAGTGATGCCTTTGCTCCTAGTAGCGATGCCCTTTGCTCCTAGTAGTAAGGCCAGGAGCCCCTCGTAGCCTCTTGTTACTAGGATATATTTTTCCTGAAAAAGGTGAGAATTGGGATTGGGATACTGTAATTTGTATGGTCCAGCATAATGATCACTTTCCAACTGGTCCAGTGAAGTGATACTTGTTTTGAACCTTTTTTGGAACAAGCTCTTGGAACGACGGCCTTTTCCTCTCACCATCTGAGCTTGTCCAACGTGTTGTAGATCAGTAGATCTGTTGCGCGTCCATGTTGGCCGGGGCACGACCATCCCGAAAAAAGGATTGAAACGATTCAAATGCACCGGGGCCAAAGTGGATGGCACAGCGCGAAACAGAAAAGGGCGAGTAGATGGCACCGACAGGGCCCTTCGGAGACACGCCCAGGTTAGGGGGAGCAGACCAATTTTAGGCGATGATGGCGCGCCTTTTTCTAGTCATTCACGCCTTATTTCAGTGGTTCATGTGAGAATAGATAGCGCAACTCTACATACCTTACCCTCTTATGTCCCTCTGTCTCCTTTCCCTCTCCTCTCATATCCTTTGACCTTCTGTGTCTGATCCTTATCCTTTTGCTTCCTTTCCTGCACTTCTCCTTTACCTTTCCTCCCGTTTGCTTTCTTTCCTGTTGTTTCTTTCTCTTTCCTGTCGTCTCCCTTTATTTGTTTCCTTTCCTCGCCCTTGGTTTGTTGACCTTGCCTTTCCCTTCCCTTTCCCTGCACTTGCACTTCAATCTCCATTGACCTATTGTAAGAACGGTGCACACTAATAGATGGCGCAATCCTGGAGTGAAAGGCGATACAGTACTGTAATGGTTAATGATGGTTGAGCCATTAGATAGTCTAACCGGTCTTTCTCCTTTCATGCCCTTGCCCTTTGCTTTCCTTTCCTTTTGTTTCTTTTCATTCAGTTCTGCTTGACCTTCCCCTGGTCCTGTATTTCAGGGGTTCCTGTGAGAAGCAGATGGCGCAACCTCTCCTCTACTCTCCTTACCTTCTCCTCTCACTTTCCTTTCTTTCCTAAATGTCTTCATTCCCTCTCCTTTCATGCCCTTTCCCTTACTTTCTTTTCCTATCCTGTGGTTTCCTTTCCTTCGCTTATCCTTTGCCTTCCCCTGGTCCTGTACTTCAATGGTCCCTATGAGAAGTAGATGGCGCAAAGCAGGTTGTTGGGGAGATTATGGAATACAGTATATGTAGAAGTAGATGGCGCAAAGCACAATTAAGGTTTGAAATCCAGACATTGCGGCCCAGAGTTCACAGCCTACAACAACCAAAAGCAGCTAGACAATATTCAAACACAAGAATGGCTTTCCATGAGCCCTTTCCATTAGATTAGAACAAGCTTGAACTTGAACAAGCCCCATTCCACAAGCTTGACCTTGAACCCTGCTCATGGGCAAAGATGGCGGAGCACAATCAAGGGTTGCAATACAGCATTTATGGCTCCAACGGGCTTGATGAGCCATCTATTTGATCATCATTTTTTTGCAGAATAAGGCGTAACACCCGAAAAAAAGTTGAACATGAAAAAAAAATTGCAGACTAATCTCCTTTGATAGCAATCAGGGTCACTATCTAGGTAGATGGCGCATTGTTATAGCTGTGCCATCAACAGATTTGGAACCCCCTCAAAATGATACGCCTAGGTAGATGGCTCAATTCAGAAATCAGTGCCATGCACTTTTACCCCGGAGTTAATGTTGATATAGTGATCCCCGAATATAATGGAAATTGTTTGTTTCCAATATATATTTAGTCGGGGATTTACTTTTCTATCTATCCGGGGTCTATGATCTATGTATTCTGAAATCACCGTGTCCCAAAAAAGGGCCGCAGAGAACGGACGGCCCCGCGGGGCCGGATTCGCTCTTTCCGCCTCGGAGGAGTTGGAACGCTTCACGTAGGCCAAGAGCGGCTGCAAGATGAAGCTCAGGACCGGTGCGGCGCTCGAAGCCCGAACGTGCGTCCCAACGGCAGTCGCACGTGGCGCGTACTGCGTACTGCGTGGCGGGAGTAGGTGCGGCGTGGACCGAAGGCTAGGCAGTACGGGTGCCGAGCACGTGGTGCAGGATGATCTTGGATGGGTTGGTCCATGAACTTGATCGTCTTTGTGAAGATGCATTCCTCAAGCTTCCTAAAGGGTGTCAAATGGAGACCTAGTAAGTTGCGGGACTTGTTGGATGATCCTACTTATGATGCGGTTCCATGCATTTCCTCCCATAAGGAGGTTTCTCCAGAGGAAAGAAGCACCTCACTGATGGTCGAAAAACGATCACCTCCCTCTGAGCCACGATATCGCTGGGGTTCGGTGCGGACGGAAATGCCGAATTGGCAAGGAGGTGAGAGGGGGAGCCCCACGCTGGATCTTCATCGATCATTATCACCTCTGCAACCAAGGCTCCCCGTGGTAGCACATGATGGACGTCCACACAGGCGAAGTGAAGCTGAAAGTGGAAACCCTTCATCTTTTGGGCTGTTCTTTCATCCACCCTGGACTACCCATAAAGGACCTTCGTTCATGCTGGACTACCCCAAAAGAAGAAGTATCGGCTAACTTGGAGCCAACGTGGGCCCTTCATGGCAGGGGACCCGAACCAAACCCTTTTCTATTTGGGATCCGGAAACATTGGAAAACCATTGAAAAGGGTGAGACTTAAAGTAGGGACACCTCCCAGTGAAAGACCCCCTGGAAGAAGGGAAATGGACCAAAACACTCCAAGAACCCACTTGTGGGGGCCATCCCTGTTCGGTTGCACACCCCAAAAGGGAACATTGAGTACTGAAGAAGAGGATGATCGACACTGATGGAGTGTGATGGGGCTCGCAGCCGCTCGGCGCTCCCCACTGGCCGGTGAACGCGATGATGCCCAAGGCCAATAGAGCCTCTTCGGCAGTTCAAGGCCACCAGCGTGGTGGGTTGCAACGGCCAAGAACGCGTGGTGGGTTGCAAGTGGAGATGGGCCGCCGATGGGCCGATGGGTCTGAACAAAATATTATGTATGTCGACTCCTTGATTCCATTTGATTCCTTGATTTCAACCCACGAGGTTTTACAATATGTCTGGGAGATTATGTTCAACATTGCTCATGACTGGCTATTCAATCCCTTTGCCTGGACTTTGCTTCATGGGTCAGCTGCATGAAGGAAACACTTAAGGCACCAGTTGCCCTTTGATTGGACAACGCGTTTCGCTTTTGGTCCATCAACATCATCCAAATCCTGACGAAACAGGGCCGCCCATCGAGTGCAACCCGCCGCGCCCAGTCCTCGGACGTCCGTTCGTCCTTCAGGCCACTGAAGGACCCAACACGCGTGGCCCGGAATCCCCAAACAATCCATGTACAGAATTATGGATTCGAACACTTGCCCCAATTAGGGCGGTTTCGTAAGCGGTGCTTTGTAGGGTCCCATGTAGGTCAATCTTCCAGTCCCATGCATTCCTGAGATTCCAAATGCCCGCCGTTGAACCCAACTCGGTCCAAATCGTTGGAGGAAAAACGGATCCTCCCATCGTTTGGAGGCGTTCAGGTCCTCGCGTCCCTTCTGGATGAAAAAAGGCCTAGGACATCTTGTGGGCGCACCGACCTAAGTGAATCGCTGCTTTAGTGTCAGTCCCCCCCCTAAAAAAGCGGCGTCAACCAGTGGGTCAGCGGCTTTGGCAAGTTTGGGGAGCCCTGGGACCTACAGGAAGCTACCTCCAAACAACCTCAGCTGGGTGCCCCAAACCTGTCTTCCTCCGCTCAGAACGTGGCGGCCCGACCGGTTCCACCGATGGTCCCGATTGTTCCACGGGAGACGGACGACGGAGGGTTTTCTCCACCTTGCCAAAGGCTTCCGAGAGGACGACCTCAGTGGAGTTCAAACCTCCGACGGGAGGTTGTTTGGGAGGAAGGTCGTTGAAGTTGGAATGTAGTTCGGCGCCGTGAATTTGCTGGGGCAAAAAGAAGATGATGGTTTGGTTCTTTTTTAATGCATCTGTATGTTTGGTTTTCTCGAGCGTGAGGAGTGCTTAGAAGAGTGATATATTCTTTTTTTGGGATGCTGGTGGGGCGGATAAGCCCCTACAGGTTTTAGGGGTGAAGATGGTCAAGACAAGGGGGGCGGTGCCTTAACATGGGGAGACCTCCCACAGACCCCCTGCAAGAATGGAAATCGTGCAAAGGGCCCTTGTTGGGGCTCTCTCTCTCTCTCTCTCTTTCAATATATATATATAGTATAGAGAGAGAGAGAGAAATGCGCACCCAATAATCATCCATATATATATATACTGTATATATATATATATATTGGTCATCTCTTCATGTTGGGCATGAGGACACCCCGCAAGAGAGGGGGGGAGCAAAACCCCCGCGAAGCATTAATCATTAGACTATATATTACAACAATAGATCACAATTTCGCATCGTTGCTGATCTGTTTTGGGAGCCCTGCCAAGTACGTAGACATATCCCCAGATCCCCCGTCAAGTCATCCATGTGACAAGTTTGTCTTCCGCTCCGGTCTTTTTGGTGCGACCAGATCGATAGTCTCTAGTCCTCCAGTTGGACTCCCCTGTCATCGGTCAAAGGAATCCATTCTGAAATGCTCAACCACCAGCCCCATGGGAAGGAAAGACCTGGTGCCCCGGCGCAGGAAGCGGGTCCAGAGCGCCTTCTTGGAGCCATATGGACCCATGTACTAAGAAGATCTGCTCCCAAAATCCCGATGCAGTGGGACTGTTCATGTCTTCTCTCCTTTTTGTTGGGAGCATGTGTTCGGTCTGGGTGACTAAACTCGCCTCATGACGAGTCGTCACCCAAGAAGTCTTCCGAACCAAAAAAAAACAAAGGTCCATATAAGAGCCAGCCCAGGATAGGACGATATCATCGATCTCAGAGGTGCTCCATCTGTCTGTCTCTGTCTCTCTCGCTCTAATTACTTGGAGAAAAAGTTCATAGTCTCACCAATTCCTTCCCCAGATGCTGGGAGAGCTCACTGCTGGAGCTGTGCGTTAAGCTACTGCCTGGACCACTGATTGCTCACCGGGGCCATTTCCGAAACAAAGGATACAATGCGCATCTGCATTGTTTTGGCAGGTGATTTTATTTTTGGGTCACATATGGATCCTGCGAACTGGTCGCAACCCAGCAGCTTCTTGAGCGAATTCGAGGATGATGGGCTGTTGTTAATGGAAAATGTCCGGTGATGCATCCAAATAAAACCTTCCATGGGAAACATACGTGACAAAAAAGGTCACCTCGTCCTTTCATGGGGCCTTTCCAGTCACCTTTTCGAAAAAAGCCTTTCGTCTGACTGGGGGCCAGAAAGCCCTTTGAGAAATGAAAACATTGAAACAACGGAATTCAGACTACCGTTCAGAAAGGGCAAACTGTTGTCGGGCTGCTCTTGTGCATCCATGGTCATCCATGTGTAAATCTTTGATGCGAAGAACATGTTTGAAAACACGGCCTGCTCTTGATCCTCTTGGGAGGCCTTCTAATTATCCTTTCTGCGTAGTGTTTTTGAAAGAGTTGTATTATTTTTTCTCCCAAGCACGGCCGCTCTCAAAAAGGAACTGAGAAACTAGGCCAGGCCGCCCCTTACTTTACCTTGAGAATTGATGGGTGAGACCAAAGAAGGGATTCATCATACTTGACGACAGGTCCCAAAAAGCCCCTCAAATTAAAGCGGCTGGACTATCAGGGATACCAAATTGATGTCAACCTGGTTTGGAGATCGGGGGGTTCAACCTCCCATGTGTAGCTCTTGGAAATGGTTCCCAACTTAGGATGAGACTCCAGGCCTCCAAGCCTTTAGGCCACGGAAATCGCAGCCCGATGCCGGAAGCGCAGTCGGCACCTTTCCACTTGGGGTTAAAAACCGGCTGGTGTTTCTGGGGGTCTTGCTGAAGGTCGCAGTTGGATGGGCCCAACCGTTGGGACCCAGCCGCCGACCATTAGGACAGTTCGCGCTTTGATAACTTGAGAATTCCTGCAGAATTGGACCCTAAGGGTTCTCGCACCGCCTTCACCAAGCATTCAAGGTGTGACTTGCCGCAAACTCAGGGCAGTAGGGCAAAGCTTTACAATGGTCACTGTACATCACCAGGGATGGAGCGGCCAGGCGTGTCACTTGAAAGTCCGCATCTCCTGCGCGAAAGGAAGGGCAGGCGGCCACGAGCGAGCCTGTCGAAGTAGATCACACGGGCGCAAGGAAGGCATCAGGTATGACACATACCCCATCGTGGCTGTTCAGATGGAGGGCGATGAAGGATGATAAGGGCCCAAAAACGGATTTGCTGAGTCTCCACCAGTGAACTGTAGCCAGCTGTAGGCTCCACACAGCATTCCTGCATGGAGTTTCTGGACTCGTGTTGGCAGGTAGGTTCTTTTCATGACTTCCTTTGACTTCTTTCGGCATGAACGTGCACTCCGGCTTCGTCCAACGCCGAATCCCCACGCACGGACGCCAACACCAACGGCCAAACCGTTGTTTGGTGCAACACGCTGGTGCGACACACGACGTGCGACACACTCGTGCCAAACACAGATGGGACCCTCGTGTGGGTCCACTCTTGCCGGACACTCTTTTTTGTGCGACATTCTGGACAGCGTTGACAAACACACTCTTGTAGGGCACTCTTGTGGGACATTCTTGTGAGACGTTCGGACACTTTTGCAGCACACTCTTGCGCTCTTGTGGGATACTCTTGTAGGGAACTTTTGTGGTAAGCCTTTGAACTCTTGTGGGGGACTCTTGCTGACATATTTTGCATGGGGTCTTCAAAACAAGAACTTCACCTGAGACTTCCTCCCAAAAGCCACACGCCAAGTCTTCAAAACGAGCATTTAGAACGCTTGGCCACACGCCAAGTCGCCAAAACAAACATTTCGCACGAGACTTCCTCCAAAAGTGATGAGGGAAACCTCATCAGTGCGAACACATGAGCAGCCCTGCCAAGAAGTATTGCAATCCAAGCCCGCCCCGCGTTGGAATATTGACATGTCGCCGCCTAACCCAGATCCAGCAAAGTCGCGCATGTACCTATATATACCTACAAGTCACAATAGCACTGGCACAGCTTCGAGGCAAGAGCTCCAGAAAAAACCGGCACAGTGACGCCAGACGCACAGACCGTCACAGACCTCACAAAACGCAGCCTCACTTGCCTCGTGAAATCAGCCTTCACTCTTCATCACGTGTCCACGCGATTTCATTGCAGACTGCCTCCGAGTCAGTTTCCTCCAGCGACTGGATTTGATCGGCAAACTCGGGTCGTTCCCTATATTTGGTCTAATCCTACCCTAGCATAGCCATGCATAGCCATGTAAAGCCATGCATGCATACCCTAGTTCGCAGCAACTCCCCCTTGGGACAACAATGCATGGCATGTGGGGCAGATGTGTCAGGTATGTCAGGTACAACCCACAAACCGGGGGCCAACCCCAGACCATGCCAGGGACAACAGCCCCAAACCCTCCACGCCTAGGGTCTTTCTCCAGGGTGGGTGGGTGGGTGGGTAGAAAAACAGGCAATCCAGCTCTAGCTCTGAAGCAACAAACCAAACAACACCAAAGACCCCAACAACCGCTGAAAGGGACTGCAGGTGCATTGTTCCAAAGCAGCACTCCAAGTGGTGACTCAGCAAGTCGGTTGAGTCCCTTTCCCCAGACTGACGATCAACGGGAACGCTCTCTGCTTCGAAGCACCCACGACCGAAACCCCCTCACCGCCGTGTCACCGCCGTTCCCGCTGAAAACCCCCCAACCGTCCGATCCGCCCGCCGAAACCGCGGTGGCCGAGCTATGCGCCGACGCCGAGCGCGCCTCCTGGAGGCAACGGTTGAAATGCACGAGCTATGCAGAAATGCAGGTTCGAGGGCCTCACGAACGAACGTCCCCTCGTCGAATTGGGTCACTCTTGCACCGCCGCAGGGCGCCGAACGGCAGCGTCTGCGCTGCCTGAGTCGCGTGGCGTGTGGGCTCCGGTGTGCGAAGCCGTGGTCACGCGCAGGTTCGAGAGAATCAAAAGCCATCTTGCAATGAGGTGGTGCTTTCCAAACACCTTCACTTCTCCACCCAGTGCACCTCCTCTTCCACCTCCAAGAAGGTCTTCCTCACGACCAGCTTTCCGCTGCTCGACGCCTCCCGCGCCACGTGCGCCGCCGCCTTCGGCGCCGCCGCCTTCGGCGCCGCCTTCGGCCCGCGGGCCCCGCGGACGAAGCGGGGCGCCATCTCGAGGAGGTTGGGCGCACTGCTGCCCCCGTGCAGGCGCCGGTACGCGCCCTGCAGGAGAGATGTGAGCGGTTTTTAAGCGGTTTTTCTCAGAGGTAAGGCTCAGACCGCAGCGGCTACAGAAGTAAATGGATGTTCACACCAAGTGTCTGATAAAAAAAAGGAGGGTGCATGCAGCAAAGTCAGTGTCTATCTTTGCTCTCGTTCACTCGCCCGCAGCCACAAACCATACGGCCCCGCCCTACTTTCGGCCCAAGTGTACTTATTATAGTATACTTTAGTAGGTGTATATACAGTGTAGGCTAGGTGTTTAGATTCATGGTTTAGAGTCTAAAATACCAGGAACATCCAGGAACTGCACCAGGACCATCACAATCTGATCTCGTTTGACCGTCGGATGGTCCCAGGTTCGGCTTTTCGGACCTCGCGGACCTCGCGGACCTCGCAGCTCCACTCGTCGTCCCTCGCACCTTCTGGGCGCCAAAGGCCTGTAGTAAACGCTCCTTCTTGGCCTCCCATTCCCGACGGAGCACCGCACACCTTCGTCCCACGGCGGTGCGAGTGCGAGTGCCGCGGTGCGACCCACTTCGTTCGAGCCCCGTTCGGCGTTCGGACGAACGGTCCGAACGGTCAA